ACTTAAGCTAACCGTCCTTTATTCATTTTTTTTTTTGGTTTTATTTCTTTATATTTAATTTAGTTCTTTAAATTATCGCAATTTATAAGGTAGTTGAAGCACAAGTGAAAATTTAAGAACTGTCCGTCCGTTTGTAGACATGATCAATTAAAGGGATAAAATGCACTGCTTATAAAATGAATTTAAACGGATACCCGCTGCTTGTTTTAACTTCAGCGTACAAAACTGTTTACATGTGTTTCAATACAATTAATCAATTTGAGCTCACCTGAACTGAAAGCTCAAGTCAGCATTTATGATCACATTTTGTCTGCAGTTCAGCTGTCTGTCCCTCTTTCAGTCTGTCCGTCCGTTTGTTTATCCGTCTGCAAACTTTTGAACATTTTCAACTTTTTCTCAAGAATAACTAAGCCAATTTTATCCAAACTTAATAAAAAGCATCCTTGGGTGAAAGGAAATTTAAGTTGTTAAAAGGAAAGGACAATGTCCCATTCCAAGGGAAAATAATCAAGAAAATACAAAAATAAAGTGGATTCATTAAATAAAATCTTCTCAAAAATCACTGGGCCAGAAAAACTGAAACTTATGTGGATGCATCCTGAGGTATCGAAGATTATAAATTAATCAAATCATGATCTCCGGGGGCAGGGCGGGGCCACAAAGGGGATTTTAAGGTTTTATATGGAAAAATAGGGAAAAGGGAAGCATCCTGGGATAGTGTACATTATGAATTGTCGGGTCATGGGTACAGTACCCGCATCGTTATTCTTTACAAATCTATCGTGTCCTATCGTGCATGTATCCTATCGTATCGTGCGTGTATCCTATCGTATCATGCGTGTATCCTATCGTATCCTATCGTATCGTGTTTTCCGTTTATCGTGTTTTGCGTTTTCTATCGTGTTTTCCGTTTATCGTGTTTTACGTTTATCGTGTAGATCGTTTATCAGGTTCTATCGTGTATCGTGTTTTGCGTTTATCGTGTATATTCGGGAACCCTCGCTTCTTATCTTAACTACAGGAAGAAACTACCGAGGTATTCCGAGTTTCTTTTTCGTTTTGTTAACTAAATAAGATTGTTTTAACCAAGAAAGAGTTAAGATACTATAATTTTTTAGTTTTCATCATTAAAAGAAATATTATATCGTGGAAGGAGAAGAATAAATATATAAATAATATAATTCATAAATTAAACAATTAATAATAAATTATATTAAGAAAATGATCATATTATAGAGAAGCAGAGAATCAGAATAATTTTTTGAAAATGAAATAATCGACTCCCTGTTTTTTTTTTTTTTTTTTTTTTTAATTCATGAAAATGAGTCACTAGAGGATGATCATTGGTAAGTCACGGAAAATTTTAATAATAATTAGCAGAGGATTTATATGTATCTTTTTAAAATAAAATATTCATTTTTTTCTCACGATCAATCGTCTGGTAATAGTAGGAATGTGTTTTCGCCTCTGCTCTTCATGTACATGTATGCATAATTAATTGAAACCTTGATTTAAAAACAAATAATAACGAAGCTTTAAGCATTTAAGACATTGATCCAGATAACTTTAACACAGATTTTCTCCGTAAAGGTACAATTTTTTGAATTAATTCTTATCACTATCTAATTAGTTAAATTTCTTGATATGTCTAAATTTTAAAAAAATAAATATCAAAATTATAAAATGTAATGCATGAAAATGCTCTACCCGATTTATCACACCATGCATGGAATTTACTATAAAATAGAAGTTTTACACTAGCAATGATTTATAATTATTTCGTCGAAAAGTCGCATTTCCCCCTTTTAATATTTGTTTCTAAATCTTTGTGTTAAAACTTTTCTATTGTAAAGGAAAAAAAGCTCATTCAATCTTCGTTAATTAATACGAAGTTTGAAGTATCTGATATATAAACGTTTACATGTACATAAGTTAGAGCTTAGCGTAAACATACATGTACTTGTGTAGTTGTAGCAGATTCATATTCTGTTGACACAGTTTAATGTATTAATGCAGAGCGCAATTATATTAACAATAATTTAGATTTCTACTCAGGAAATTAATTTTCTTGAACTATATAGTTCTTTAAAGCTGATTACTTTGGACCAGTCTTTCTGCCGGTCTTCTACGGAGTCATAGTTTAATCTTAAGATGAGAATTTCAATATTTACACAAATAATTATAAATCCACACCCATAAGTAGAAAAAAAAAATTAGTCTCCATTTCATAATAATCCATTTAATCATTGTCAAAAAATATGTATAAAGACAACTTTTGTAAAATTACCAGTGATCTCAATTTTTTTTTTAAATATAATAATTAAATGTACTTTATAATTTAGATTTGAAGCTTTGCAAGTACTTAAATTAAAATATTGTAGTATCTAAACAAAATAATCTTTTCGTCTTGTCAGAAAACGTTCCGCATTTTGAAAAAATCCTATCAGGTTTTGCGTTTATCCTATCGTGAAGATCGTTTATCAGGTCTATGGTGTTTTGCGTTTATCGTGTTTTGCGTTTATCGTGTTTTGCATTTATCCTATCGTGCGTGTACCCTGTCCTATCGTGCGTGTATCCTATAGTATCGTGCGTGTATCCTATCGTATCGTGCGTGTATCCTATCGTATCGTGTATCCTGTAAAGAATAACGATGCGGGTACTGTAGTTCGGGGCCACAATTTGGAATCAATGTTTTATATGTAAATATATTGGAAAAAAAATAAAAATCTTCTCAAGAACCACTGGGTCAGAAAAGCAGAAACTGATGTGGAAGCATCCTAAAGTAGTGTAAATGGAAGAGCGTGACAGCTCACCTGATCAAAGGCAATCTGAGCAATGTAAACAGAAGGAACATGACACAATTAGCACTAATCAGAGTAACGGACAAACAACAATAGAAAGTCTATCACAGTTAAAGGATATGGAAGAAGGCTTAAAGTAGAACGAGCAGTCGTTTTCAGAAGAAATTCCAGATGTGGAGACCGAAAATGTTGATGGTAGCAAAGTGAACACAGAGACTGATGTTGTGAAACAAGAAATAGATACAAATGAGTCAGAGCTGAGAAAATCTTTTTTATATCTTTACAAGGAGGAGGACAGTAAGGAAGAACAGACAAGGAATAAACAGGAAATAATGTCCCCAAAAACAGATACGGCAGAAGACTCCATACAGCAACAGAAAGATATAAAGCAAGAAATGTTGTCTCCAGACAAGGATTCTTCAACCGATTCCGTACAGCACGAGTCAAACCCTGGCCTGGAAGACGAATCCACACCTAAAGAAGACACAACTGACTTTTCAGAGGAAGACAAAGAGTGAGAAAGTCTGACTGAAGTAACAGAGGAACCAAAGTAGAAAGAGGCTCTTCCTGAAACAAAGGAAGTAGACCCTGAGAAAGTTTCATCAAAGCTTGAAAAAATGGAAGATCAGGCATTGGAAGAGGAAAATACACAAAGCCAAGAAAACCAAGAAGAAACAAGCTAATTCAGAGAATTTGTGTCCCCCGCTTAGGGAAAAAGTAATCCAGTTCTGGGGTTCGGATCCCCTTGACTGAATTTGTAGAATTATTAAATGTATATACATGTATACTGAAGCAAATAAAATATGCAAATATGGATATAAAGGTTTGATTGCTTATTATGTGCATTGAAGAGTCTTTTTATATGGAATATTTATCACACTGTTATGATGATTTTATGAGTTTGTACAAGCCAGAACTCATAATTTTTTTATTTCACATGCTGAATCCTATCATTTAGTAAAAAGAAACCTATTTCAAAAAAAAAAAAAAAAGATCATCGGAAATGCGAACCCGGGCCCTCTCTCATGTGAAGCGAGAGACATAACCACTAGACCACGGCGCCGCTTTAACTTAACGTAAGTTTTATGCAAAGATGAAGTCACATATATGTATTATATATACACGTTTGATATTGTCAAAATTTTACACTATGCATGGTGCCTAATTTAACATTCATTAAACAGTTCTATTAGATGTAATAAGAATATAAAGTCCACCGAGAACCTGTTTTATACGTAATAACTCGCCTCATGCCCCTCTGCTAAAAATAGAGACATGTAATACAATAAGTACAGATAAAACAAGCGGGGCGGGACACTTTGAGAGGGGTGAGAGAGGTCCTAGGGACTTTTGGTATAACATTTACATTGCAAAAGCTAAAAATCTTCTTAAGATATCGCCCGGAAAAGATAGTGTTTCATACAGACAGAATGTATAGATTTACGACCTTGAACTTTGACCTTTTGACCTCAAAATCAATAGGGGTCTTCCTTAGGCCGCAGGAAATTGTTATATAAAATTTCATTGCAAAAGCTCAAAGGGTTCTCGAGATATCGCGCGGAAACGAAAGTGTTATAACAGACAGAATTTGCGAATTTATGACCTTGACCTTTGACCTTTTGACCTCAAAATCAATAAGGGTCTTTTTTAGCTCATAGGGAGTTGCTATGCAAAATTTCATTGCGAAAGCTTAAAGGGTTCTCGCGATATCGTGTGGAAACGAAAGCGTTACAGACAGACAGAAAGACGGACGGACGGACGGACGGACAGACAGACCCAAATTAATATCCCCCACTTTTCAAGCGGGGGACAAATAGTGAAGAAGATATGGAAACGGAAGGAGAAATTGTGGGTCAGATGAAGGAAAACAATGCCCCGAGTGAAGAAGCTTAACTCGATGTCAATGAAGAAAAAGCTAAAGAAGAAAACAGTTCATTTGAAGAAGGGACATCAGTCATCTCTGAATCATGTGAAGAAAGTAAGACAGAAGATGATCCAGAAATCGAGTCCTCAGAGGTAGAAACCATGGAAGTTTATGAAAAGAAAGAGGAAGGGGGAGTGGAGCCTGAGGATATGGAGAACAAATTGGAAGAGAAGACAGGAGAAACGAAAAACCAAATGAAATGGAGAAACAACAGAAGACAGGGAAGGAATACAAAACTAAGACAACAGGAGAAGTGGTCTTGATGAGAAGGGCATTCCCCTCCAACAGGGAATACGTCATCTGCTGACGTAGGTCATGAAGGAATCCCAAGCTCAGATGATGGAGGAGATAAAAAGAAAAGTGGGGAAAAGGTTAGCAGGCAAGCTGAAGGTGGAGAAAGTCAAAGCAGTAGTGAGAATACAGACGGAAGTAGAGGAAGTCATCAAAAAAGTGTAAGTTTAAAATGATCTCTAGATCTTTGCAGTTTGTGTTTAAGAGGGCAGGTATCTAAATGGATTTTAATTTGAAAGAATTTTATTCGGTAATAACCGATATTTGCCCCCCAAATCAAACTTTGATGAAGATATATTTAATTAAGTTTTAAAACAGGGGGGTATATGCTGACTTCAAAGCACTGAATATTTTCTTAAGTAATGACGTAATATTTACGTAATGACGTCTAAAAAGACGTAAATTTCAGTTTTTTATGAATTCTACAGAAAAAAAGTACATATTTCGTCGATATTTTGAGTAAAAGTCATCGAGCGCATGTGTGTTCAGGATCAATTTTTTGATATAATATGTCGAATGATAATATCAATGAAATATGTAAATATTGTTTCTGAACAAAATTGCGCTCTATAAAATTTAAAGCTAAAATTGTTGAAATTTTGTCAATTTTGGCCTCTTTCTGAAAAAGGATATAAAATCGGACTAGTTTGCGACGTCATAAAAACAAATATTGTGAATAAACTATTTTGAACTATAATATGTTCTGTTAATTTATATTTATCATACAATTTATTGAATTCAGCACATATCAGGAAGTAGAAAGTTTGACTTTCGTAAGGGCAAATATATGCAATATACCGCATATAATTATTTAATTGGCATTGTACATTGTCTGTGTTTTCCAGAAATCAGTTTCAGGATCCTCTGATGAATTTAAATTATTCAGTTTAAGAATAGAGCAACGTAACTTCTTAAATTTCTACCTTGTGTTAAATTGTACATGATTGCATTTTCATGCTGAAGATACAGATTACAAATGTATTTCATATCAAAAACAGGAGGGCTATAACAGAGCTCTATATTACGAACAATATTCAAAAGAATTTAAGAAGATTATATTCTTGCAAGTTGATTAGGCTGATAAACTTTCACTAACTGTAAAATATTCTACATGATTTTTTTTTTCGAAACAGTAGCTTTGATTCATTTGTTAAGTTTTTCCGAAATTGATTTTTTAAAAAGTCGATGTTACATTTTCCTGTAGATTTTGAATTTGTGCATTGTCCCATAGATTTAAAGTTTATGCATATCAAGCTGTCAACAGGCCTAGCTAAATGTAAAAGCTTGGGAACAAAACAACTGCTAATAGCAATATACATTCATATGATCTTTACGTGGATGGAAAATCACGTTGAATAATTCCCGAGACTTGTTGACTAATTCGGCTTTCCAAGTGGTACTTTGTCAGGTCGAGACCACTACCTTATATGAAAGGCAATTTTCAACACGTGACGATGTCTTCGTCACACCCGTTCTCCAATCAAGTGAATGAGTCCCAAAGCATGACAGTCTACTACATGTTTACGATTCAATGGCGACACGTGGTTTTCGTCAGTTTACTGCACAATATCTTACTCGTCATCGGAAAAACTGTAGACCTTCTTTATCACTTATAAGACCAAAATCGAAAGATTATATTCTAAAGACATTGCTCCACGCTCACATTTAATATTAGAGGTGTTTTAGGTGACAAATAGTTGCTTCGAATACCGTACAAACGCTTTGACGTTTGCATGTACATAAAACACTCTCTGATAACATTGAGAGGTAAAATAATAATTACAAACCTTCTCCTGCTGTCTAAAACCAAGAACCTATATACTGCTGCTAAAACTATGTACACGCATATCCCATGACAGAAACTCAATGTTTTATCCACACGATAGCACCCACATCTCTTTGAACAATGGATCAGGCCGATGTATTATAAGTTGATATAAAACTTCATAAAGCAAATTGTGTGAATATGAGCAAAGAAATGAAAGAACATACATCATTTTAAATATTTCTTTCACAAATCTCAAAAAAAGAATTGAAAATAGGTTTCCAAGGGACAATTCAAGTTGTCCTTTATTTTCCACACAGCTGGGTACTTGTAGTAGCCCACAATGCATTGTGGCTCATTCATCAGTAGGTAAAGTAAACAGATAGCTACTGTACATGCAAATTTATGCCGACGTCAGAAAATCTAGTAGTCTCGACATGTTTGTTGATATACAAGTAAATCTTAAGATATTACTTATCCCCCAACTTAATGTTTACCTCAGTCCTATTGCTATTGATACTGAACATTTATGGGAATCTTTGTTATTTGAAACTTTTGAAAAGTAAAGTAAGAAAAGATTATTTTGTGTCTTTGTGGCAAAAGTGACATTCATTTTGGGCTACGATAGAGTTAATATAGTTTCAGTCATCGTGTGTAATAATCCAGTGATATTTTGTGTTTCAAGTCTTCAGAGGATGATAGACAATATAGTGGTGGCCACCACAACAGCCAACATCATGACAACAGATCACACGGAAATCGAGATCACAGATCCCCCAGCTATAACCAGTATGATCGACCTCAAGAGGACAGAGGCAGGTCTAGACATGACAGACATTCTCACGGAGATAGGTCAGTAGTTAAAAGTAACTAATTGTGAGTAATAATGATCGAACAGGGCTGGTCAAGATATGACAGACATTCTCACGGAGATAGGTCAGTAGTATATAGTAACTAATAGTGAGTAATAATGATCATGCATCAGAATTATCAATAGAAATTATCAAGACATGATAGACATTCTCACGGAGATAGGTCAGTAGTTAAAAGTATCTAATACTGAGTAATAATGATCAGACATCAGAATTATCACTAGAAATCATCACTTCTACGCCTGGAGAAATAGTCCTGGCCTTTGAGAACTGGAATCTTGCTAACTCCCTCAATGATATACTTTCACTGTATAATAAGATATTGATCAGAGATCAGAATTATGAAAATAATTTAATACGCCAAAATTTATCGTTACAGTCTTTCTACATTTCAGAGATACGAACAGTCATCATGGTCAGAACAGGCATTACCATGACAACAGGCATCATTACGATAGAAATCGCTATGATGACGGAAGACACGGACATCACAACAACAGACATGGTCACCATGACAATAGGCATGGTTACCCTGACAACAGGCATGGCTACCATGACAACCGATCTCCAAGATGCCATTGGAGAGGTCATGGAGTGTATAGAGGTGGATATAGAGATTATAGATAGCTTATACCAGAACGTGTCACAGGATCTGAGACGGATATAGAAATATACACCTGTAAATATGTTATAAAAGAGAATGACTAAAATATTTGATATGGTTCCTTGATTTTTATTTGTTTTGTAAAAAAATAAGACTAGTTTTATCCAATGGTTTTACTGCTAGTGCAGTTTAACTTCGATTTGCTCTAATGTTTGATAAATAATTCACAGCTGATAAAGTGTACATTTTTGTCTAAAAAGTTTTTTTACTGTTATTTTGATAATGTTAATCAGAAAAATATTATTGTACGAAATCTCCATTGGTAATTGTACTTACGTAAGGGAGGTACAGAAGGTAAAAATTTTGATTTTTTTCCTTGTTATTAGCTCACAAAGTTTTTAATAAATAAATGACCTTAGAATTTGTAAATATCATTTTATTCATGTATTTTGTTACTCATATTCTACAGTGTAATGATAACAACCCTCAGAATGAACTGCCACATTCAATTAAAGCTTACATAATGAAATACATATGTAAAATCAACAGAAAATAAATCATAAAAACATAATAATAAGGTTGTTGTTGATTTTTTTCTTTTTTAACACTGACCTCTACCATGGACTTCAACATTTTTAACTTATCTTGAGCGGAGATGTATTGAAAATAAAAGTATGATGTCTGTTATTGGACTTTTTTGAGAAGCACTGACTTCAACGGTTGACGGTTTATTTGGACATATAAACCTGTATTGTACGGAGGTGTATAATTGATAATAGATCAGAAAACATTTCTAAAGGCTATAGGTATTGTGTTACAGGCACTTCTAATATTATGTGAGCTGAGAGTTAAGGGTAGAGTGGTTGTCGTTTTCTTCAAGGAAAACTTTTATGTGCATTGAAATACATGTAATCCATTATTTTCGTTTAATTAAATGTTGAGTTATATTTATATCGTAAAGAACTTCCGTACATTGTCATAGTGTAAAATTAAACCATCAACTGTAAAAGTCAGCGCTCCTCGTAAAAGTCCAATAGTAGCCAAGGAAAGCAAAACCACAGATTCCAATTCCAAATTATGAAATCGAAAAATAAGACAGTTATTCCTTAAAATTACATGCTATTAATTCCGCCAATCCACACGCTAGAAACCCCACTTCTTGCCTCTATTTTTCCTGCCCTGCACGTTTTTTTTTAACCGCGCCTATAGATGAACAAGTACATTGATGGAAAATTAAGTACATTAATTACTTGTAATTTTATCTCGAACAAAGACATTGGAAATGTAAATATTGCTTGATATTGTCTGAAGTAAGATACTGATAAATCTTCATATTTTCATGGTTTGAGTTAAAACGCTTGGTTCTTGGGGATTTGAATTCGTGGATGAAGAATTGTTGAGTAGTTATATAAGTGACATTTTACATTTCGTGGTGGACATGAATTCGTGTGTCTCTTAATACCCAGAAAACAACGAAATTAAACACGCGAAAATTAGTGATTTCACAGTACGAGGGTTGTTCGATATGTATTATAATTATTATTATCCAGGTTCAATCAAGGGTGTACGGGGATTTACCCCGGGTTTTATTCCATACACCCTGAGGCCGAAGGCCGAATTTATTTCCTATGTATCCGTAAAAATTCTTTGTAAAATCATAAATCCAATCTACCGTGTCTCAACCTATCGATAAGATTTCCTACGTACTACAGTGCATTGTGACGTCATGTCATTTGCTTTGTATTATAGTTAAAGTATGCATTGTGACGTCACGTTTTATTTACCCCCTGCTCAAGTCGGATGTACGGAAATTTACAACCGACTTTGTAACCAATCAAAGCTCGTGTTACAAGCTACATAGGAAATAATGTGTATTGTACCACAGCGCGATAACGCCTTGCACGATTTCGTCGATATTTATACGCCTGGATAACTCTATTCAATACATTGCCAACAGTATAACACGAGTTTTCAACTACACATAGTTATAAAATAATCGTCATTTCAATAGAGCCTGTCGTTGACCACTGTTGTAAAAATGGTTGGGAAAAGGTTGAGAATATTAAAGAAATTAGAGCTTATATAAAAGTTCGCACAAAACTCGGTATTTCGGTAAGGCAGATTTTTACTGAATTGGGGGAAGTTTATAGGTCTGATAAGGTATCTTATGAGACAGTTCGTAGGTGGAGACAGAAATTTCTGACTGGCACAGAGTCCGTCAAAGATGCAACAAAATCGGGTCGACCTGTGACTGTATCAGGCAGACAAATGTCTCAAAGTCAAGGAAATAATTGAAAGTGATGGCAGGTACACGGTTCGTGATATTGCCAAAACTGTTGGCATATCGCAAAAGTTTTACAGGTCGGCATTAACGAGATGTTGTACTGAAAAAGCTTAAGAAATATTATCAGAAACGACCTTCTGTGTCGGGATTTAGGCATGTTCGCCTTCTTCATGATAATGCTCTATCACATACATCTGAGCTTGTGAAGCAATTTTTGAAGTCTGAGAAGGTATCCGTCTTGCCACACCCACCATAATCTCAGGATCTAGCACCATGCGACTTTTTCCTCTTTCCAAAACCTAAAAAGTTCTTATCTGGTCGTCGATACAAGTCCCTAGAGGCCCTTGACTCAGCCGTCAGTCAGTGCCTCAGAGGTATACCTAAATCAGCGTACCGTGACGCATTTCAGAAATGGAATCAGAGATTAAAATTGTGTATTTCAAATCACGGAGAATACTTTGAAGGGATGTAATGTCCATTTGACTATTTGAATCGAATGCTTTTGAGATATCGTACAATACACAATACATATCGAACAACCCTCGTATGTGTCCAATGCAGTGGTTAACTCACCCTAAATAATTTCTTCATTTTTAAAAGTTTGTTGATATGACTGTGCAAATTTTAATATTCCTTAATTGAAATGGATAAATGTAAGTATAACATTTCATCAATAACGTTATTGTCTAGTACAGAAGTGCAAGACCTATAAATAAACACAATAAGAATAATATATTAATTCATTTATAACAAAACTACTTAATTTTGGTATGTACATGAACTATAGATATGTAAGAAAGGATGAAAGTGTCGTATTTTCAATGTACATATCTCCATACACAATGTTCAGCTAATACTTTCAGCAGGACTTTATCATCATAACTGAGTTCATTTGCCTATTTTCTTTTTAAATTTAGACTTATCTTTTAAATAGATGGAATAAAAAAAAGGAATTTATCATTGAAAAATACTGTTTAATACTGTTCAGTTAATAAAGTCAACGAATGAAGATGCTTAAATATATGTTAGTATTTTTGAGATTTTTCATATTCTCTTTATGACAAGTACCCCTAAAAATAACTGAAAATGTCCCGTCGCAGTATGTAAATACCATTCCATGTTTCACAGGCTGTACTACATTTAATAACAAGGAAATATGTCACGTGCTTTTGACTGATTGATAAGCGAGCGCTAATTTATCATTTTGAAAAGTTTGAGAATCTTGTGACAAAGACTTTTCCAACACAGGTTCTACCTTAAGTAAATGCTTCCCGATCGTTTCACATGCAAAAATATTACCGACTGACGAGACGTCAAAATGACATTTATTGATGCTGCTCCAGATCGATTGACATAGGCAAGTTTCTAATTTCACCATAACTTATCTAATTATATCATAATTTGGTAATTTTGCATAATTTTTTATTCTCGATTTCTAAAATGTTGACGAATTTTCATGAATTATCTTTGCTATTTATAGAGTTTCTCAATTATTATCGAACAGCCCTCGTACAAAGTTATATACTTAATAAAATACATGTTTACTTTCTTAAACTATTTATAAGCAATATTTGGGCGAGGGTAAGATAACGTGAAAGCCACGTTTTCGACCCAAGCCCAAATATCGCTTATATTTCAAGACAGTGACCAATGACATGTATTTTGTTTATCCTGCAAAACATATTTATAACTGACCACTAAAATGAACTATTTGCAACCCGATTTAGACACATCTCTGCAGTAGAAACTTGGACGTCATAGCGTAAACATTGCAATACACGTGATATCACAATGTTTTTAGAACTTCAGAAAACATGCACGAGGCTTAATTAAGGACATTGACCGAATAAAGATTTGGTTTATTAGGTAACCTTTATCAAGTCAATGCAAGGGGTGATTGCAGGATAAACACAATTACTGACTATCTGCTGTCTTTACTGCAAAACTTAGTCAATAACCGAATTTTTTATGCCATTGCTGATAATCTTAGAAAAGTGCTGTCAATCTAAGTCGGTGCTGATAAACTGACAAAAACTGAGTACTCACCCATTTACAGTCCCTGTTGAAATACTTCGACAAGTGCTAATATTAACTGATAAGTGCTGTTCCTATCGTTATCGCTCTCGGTGTGGCTGCAGAGATGTGAATTTAAGTGTTTGCTTCATACTCTCAATTTAAAAACAGTCTTATTTTAAATTTGGGAATAAAAAGTTGCAGATCACAGACGGTTAAAATTTAACTGACCATTTCATTATTAATATTTTTTTAAATAATTCAAACGTAATCGATGTTCCATGTGTAATTTCATTTAAATAAATGTGTGAAATAATAACAATTTACATCTCTTCCTGCAATCGCAACTTCTCGGGCCTTTCCGACTAGCAAAAAAACGACCTCCAATGTATATGGTATCCGCTATGACAACCCTCCTTTTTCACGTTCTTCGAAATAAATGCATGGAGACCTTTTATCTGTGGAATATGGAGTTTAACTTTATTCAATGTAATGATATTACCTAAAATATACCACAGAAGGGACTTCTAACTCCGTCTTTCCTATATTTGAATTAACAGGAAATTTATAAATTTTAACATCCGGTGATGTTAATACATTTGAGGTTGTTTTTCCGACCTCTGACGGAAAAATCCGAGATGATGCGATCGCTCCTCCTGTTTAATCTTACGAAATATATTTATTAATCTTTTCATTAATGTATTCCTTCGCAGCCGCTGCTAGATTTGAATAAATGTCTAAGTTTATCTGCATCGACTACGTTTTT